CCACTAAGCCCTGTCATTAAGGACCTCATCTCCATGGTTTTTGAACACTTCTAGGGACAGTGATTCCACCATTTCCATGGGCAGCCTGTTCCAATGCCTGAGCACCATTTTGGTGAAGAAATTGTTCCTGATATTCAACCCAAACCTCCCCTATTGCAGCTTGAGGCCATTTCCTCTTCTCCTATCACTTGTTACTTGGGAGAAAAGATCAGTACCCACCCTTCACATGCTCTTCATGCAACTTTTTAGTCTAATGGTGATTTTTGGACTGGGGTCTTCTAACACCTTTATGGATTCTCATTCTCCAGGGAGGTTATTAGCTGTTCTTATCTTGTCAAATTGCAGCTTCTGCTGATGGCTGTTGCTTCCTTATCTTCTGGTCTGCCCTTCTTTTACACCTTTCTTAGTATCCCAAGCTCATCAGCTGAGCTTGGGACACTAAGGAAGTCCCACACCTAGGGTAAGCATTACTTAGCAACTACTAAAACACCAGTGTGTTATCAACATTCTTCCCATAGTAAAGATAAATCAGAGCACTACCAGCTTCTACAAAAATTACTTAGAAAATTAACTCTGTTCCAGCTGGAAGGATATCCAGGTGAAAGTCCACATCTTGCAGCCTAAGGCTTCAGCAAATCTACTCACACTAAGCAAGTAAAGCTAAGCAAGCAGCATAATAAACCACACAATATTGTAACTCTAAGTGATTCAGCCTATTTAAAACTTACTATTTAAAGCTAAATAACTAATACCTCTCAACATCTGAGCTCCCAGCTAAAACATTGTCAAGAAGAACATGACTCCTGACAAAGCGACTTTGCTGAGCAATGATTTCTGCTCTTGTTCTTATGCATTTCTACACCTGTAATGAGGGGGAGAGAGAGAATGTACGTCAGCTGCCATAAGGAAGTGTGGCCTGTCTCGTATCTCCATGTGAAAGAAAACAAAATGAAGAAAAAATAATAAAGGAAGAATCTGTTTGGGAGCAGGTACTTAATACAGGTGGAAAGGTCATTGGTATTTGATTGAGAAATGCTCTACTTTAGCCTTTCCTGTTTACTAGCCAGCTGTGAAAGAGTGAAGTTCATTGGTAAGAGGATAATGTACTATATGTGGGGTGAGCCAGGGACAAAGTAGTGACGTGTAAGGAAGGTGAGCTGTACTCCAGGGAGACATCCTGACCTGACAAGGAGGATGCAGGCAGCTCTGATGGGAATCATCATTATAGCCTGTACTATTTCTTACCTCAAGCTGCCTTTGCCTGGTGACTCCAGGCAGGCCTCTCATCACCTCTCCATGCTGTGGAGAAGGGACCACCAAGCCCCAAGGAGGGGCTGGCATTGCCCACGGACAGTAGAAGTTAATTTTTAATACACATGAGGAACAAGGCTTGAGGAGGGTCTTCCACCTTTGAAGGGCAGAGCTATCCAGGAGGGTGACCTGCCTTTCATCTAGTCCTGTTGTGTGGACCAGAGATTGCCCAGGTTTGAAGAAATCCAGCAACCTGCTCTGTGAAGACTTACCCAGACCAGAGTTTTCTTGCCTCTTCAGAGGAGGACCTTCCCCTCTGCTCTTCCTAAGCCTGCTGTTTTCTCTCCTGCCCATGTTTCTGCTGTGGTCTTGCTGCTGTGGTTTTACCCCACCATGTTCCAGGGCACAGTTTGATGGCACTTTTTCTACTTCTCCTAGTCTGCTAATACTATTGTAAAAATTAGAAAAGCAGAAAGATCCTAGACATAGGTTCTTGGTGTCTTCAGCCTGCAATGTGCTTGTGCTGTTCAGAGCTGAGTCTTCCCACACTACGTCTGTGCCACAGCTCCCAGACGGAGGTAAATCAAGATTGTATCAGAATGCAATGTGTATCAGAATACCAAGTGGTTTCCATGTTAAATGTTGCTTTAGATAACACTGCTAAAGTAGTTGGTGTCTCAGACTCATCCTTCTTATTTTCTGCCACCTTCCTTGATCCACACATATTATATGCAGGATTCAATAGAACTGGGTTTGATGAGGAGTAAAGGGTCATGTTCTAAAGTATGTGTGCCTAGTGAATGATCTCTCTGCTGAGAACATTCCTATTCAAGAAACTCTTCCCTGTGAGGGTGCTGAGGCGCTGGCACAGGGTGCCCAGAGAAGCTGTGGCTGCCCCATCCCTGGCAGTGTTCAAGACCAGGTTGGACACAGGGGCTTGGAGCAACCTGCTCTAGTGGAAGGTGTCCCTGCCCGTGGCAGGGGTTGGAACTTGAGGAGCTTTAAGGTCCCTTCCAACACAAAGCATTCCAGGATTCTATGATTCTATGAAATCTACCAGTAAATTCAGTGGATTTGACTCATAGCAGTAGCCAGTTCTGATTCACCCGTATCCTCACCACTGAATACATGCTAGTTGATTTGCAATGACATGTTTCACATGACACAGGCAACAATGCCCAAGAGGCCATCAAGGAACCTGACAAATTAGACTAAGGTGCCTCATTACATCATAACACATGGATCCAGACTATCATTGCTTTGTGCAGAAGTCTGTGGACACCCTTATTCCATTGTAAGTACTTTCTTACAGTCACGGGTAAAAGCTGATTAATCTTCTTTGTCCTTTCAATGACTGGTTTTCATTTGGACCTCACAAAAGCCAGCATGTCTGTAGGAGCTTCTAGCAGTTACAGAAGAGAAAGTGTTATCAAACTTGGTGGAGCTTCTTTCACAGAATGATGTGCTGAGAAACACTTCAAGCTGCCAGAAGTCATTCTAGAGAACAAAACTGTGTTACTGCAAGAGATTTACCTAGTCAATGGGAATGATGAAAACATGTGCTGTATGGTAATAGCATTAATTAAATAATATAAATTAATTAGAGCATAACATTTATCTATTCCTACTGTGCAGAGATTGTCTTATAATCACGATCTTTGGAAATATCTAGAGTTTTGAAGTTTGTGGTAAAGAATTAATTAATCAATCAGTGTTGTTCATTTAGCTGCACAGTTTGACGTGAGTTTTTCGCTTGAACTGCCTGGGAATCACTTTCGTGTTCCCCTTCCTCCCCACCCTTTTCAGTTATTACGAGAGCCTGGAGAGGATTTGCCAGCCATCACTTACTCTCGCTTCACTGATTGCAGTGTTTGATTGGTCAAACATACCGGATTTTTTCTGCCTCTTGCCAAGATATCAAAATCAGAAGAACATGAATAGTGAATACCAGGTGTGTACATTTCCTCATTCATGTGTGAATGTGGTTGTTTGTATAAAGAAGGAACATATTTACCCTTCTCAATGTTCATTTTCAAGGCTTCCAACATTATCTTTGGCCTCTTATCCTTTGCACTTCCTTCTTCCATTCCAATAAAGCTGGCCTTTGTGGAAAGACCTTCTAGGTTATGATCTTTACTCTTCATCCTTGATGACTGCCCTTGCAGGGCAATACGTTCGTGCGTGGCAACAATTGTGTC